AAAAAAAAAAAAAAAAAAAAAAAAAAAAAAAAAAAGGTAGTTGCTTACTCATAATAAAACCAGATTTGACAAAAGAGTAAACAAAGAGATTGAACCATTTTAAATAAATTATTTCCATTTTAATATGTTCCTCTTACCTCTGCCTAACTCCTCCCCCAATTTCGGCATCACTATTATTCACATGAAGAGCTAAGATCCGGCCAGCGCCAGACGAGACCGACATCAAAACCCGCGAATCAAGAGACCCCACATCCCACAAGCAAAGGCCATCCGGCACGGCTATCACCACCTTCCCTTTATTCCTCCAGTGCAAAGGGACCGAATAATCCATACCCAGCACTGGCTTAGGCAACTCCCACCTCATCACTCTATCTCCATCACGGATATCAAAAATCTGCACAGCTTTCCCGCAACTGGCAGCCGACATTATAAGGGGCCCACATGGCTTGTACCACCACTGACGGCTTTCACTAGCCGTGAAATGGTGATCTCTTCTATTATACATAGTGTTATTTGGTAAGGGGGCTAAAGCAGTTCTTGCAGTTACTATTCTTGCAGTTGGGGTAGTTTCATCCTCAAGATGGAAAGCTCGAATGTCTTTAGTGTAGAAATCCCACGAGCAAAAGCCCGAAATCAGAGAATTTCCAGCCGAAGCAGCTACAACGTATTTTCCGGAACATCCATCAGCACTTGGTGCCCGGATCAACCAACAGTCACGCCATGTATTTGGCAAGATTCCAGCGGGAGGTTTGTACAAGGCTTTCTCCTGGAATGGATAAATTAAGGATAATAATCAATTTCTTGGATTAGTTATGGAAAGATTGGGAAGTTTTCCATTTGCCGTGTAATTATAGAAGTGTGGCAAGGTTGGTCCTTATATAAATTGTCCCATAAAACATGTTAAATTTTAGAAAACTCTGAAGAGCAGACCTCAATCCACCGGAAAATTTTAAAATAGCCTAGGAAAATAGGGGATTTTTTGTTTCTTTTTTTTTTTATCTGTAGCCAGAAGTTATGCTTCTGGAATATTGCAGGTAAAATAGGGGGATTTAGCCACTTTACCAGCATTTATATTCGAAAAAATCCTAATTCATTTTGTTGGATACATAAAATCACTTTTTCTAGGTGCGTGCTAGCAAGTCTCAGATATTTTGGGCAACTTCAGAATTTCCAAAGAAATGAGGGCTGAATACAAGAAGCTTCCAAATAAGTTCCAGGCAGAATTTCAGAATTACAAAATTCGGTCTCTCTAGTTAGGGAACTTAAATTGCAATTTTAAGCCAAAATGATTTGGTGTAAGTGTGTAACTGATCCATCCACCTAACAGCTCAAAAATACTGAAACAGAACATGAAACTCAAAGCACAGTTGAAAAGAATACACAAACTAAAATGCATAAATACAGATTCCCAGTGGATCAGTTGAGCCCATACCTCACTGTTGGCAACATCATAGAACGAACAAGAGCCGTCATCGTGAGCAAGTAATACCGACTCTCCCTCCGACACAAACCAACCTCCAGTCGAAATCTTGCTTCCAATATCACTCAAATCATGCACACAATTCTCCTCAATCTCATTATCAAACATCATAGTTGCCTTTTTATGTTGACTATCATCAAAGTCCTCGAGATTTTCATCAGCCATAAGTAAAGATTCGATATTATCATTGCCATTCAATACATTCATGGACGAACCTTCTGCAGCAAATATCACCGCGTCATCCCCCCCTTCATGAACTTCACTAACCTTTGTTCCCTTCTTAATCAAACAACAATCAAAAGAAATTATGACTTCACTGTTATCCACGGCAGGTTCTATCTTTGAGATTTTCCTATCTCTGATCAACTTATCATGAGGGAACAACCGCCCTTCCAATTCATCAACATTCGTACCATTAATCAAACTTTTGGCGTTCGTTGAATCCTTCTCATTTTCACCATTATCTGCGGAGACCATGTTGTCATCCCCATTGCGCTCCACAACACCCATCGCCTTCTCGATTCCAGAAATCTTTTCATGAATGCTAGACATTATCATTTTGGAAGTATCTGGATTAGTACTATCTAGCATCTCTTTAGTCTTTTGTATTTCATCGGCTATCCTCTTCACTTTTCCTTCCAAAAATGCAAGCTTTTCGTGTAACTTGCTGGGGTACTTGGAAGTCGCCATTTTACAATCTCCTGATCTCGAGTCAGGCTCAATTCTGACCCTGGATGATCTTAAATTTGAAGTGTTTATAGTTTCTGGGTAGTTGGCTTTCAAATCATCCAGGCCTTTTTCATTGTTTTCCAAACATTTGAATCCTCTTTTCTCTGTACCGGGATTTAGTACAGAAATGGAGCTCAAATTCCCCTCTTTCTTCCTGTTACCAGCATTTTTTTCAACAAGAATCTCGGATTTACCGTTACTCCCCAAATCACTTGAAACCCTGTTCCGAAGATTATATTTTCGGACCGATTGTTCAGTCCAAAAAGAAGTATTTACCTTCTTCTGTGGTGGTCCAAAAGAAGCCCTAGAGTTATTCCTCGAATCTGATAAACCCCTAGTTAACTGGTATGGGCTGGAGCTCCTACCTCTGGGCACCGACGAGGAGGACTTCCGGACACGTGGATCTGCGCGAGACTCCTCAACAGCGGACTTGTCGATCCGGGCCATGGGCTTCTGCGTCGCGGCTCGAACCCTAGATGTGGGCCTGGGGTTCTCTTTCCCTGTCGACATGGCCTTCCCAGCAGCAGGGGAGATTTTTCCGGCGGCGGCGGCGACGGTTCGTTCTTTCAACAGTCGAGCTGATGATGTGGACATTTCGTGTCTTCTCTTGGTTGGTGTCGTTTTGATGAAATTGATGCCCTAGAGGATTTCAGGTTCACCGGGCGGGAAGAAATAGAAATTCATCTGGGTTTTGAAAATATTTGAGAGGTTAGAATGGATATAATTTTTTTTTGTTTTGATTGGATTTTTGATTTGGATTGGTTAAGTTTGAAAAAGTTGGTAAAATTATTTGTTAATGGGTATATTAAAATAATATTTAAAATAAAATATTTAAAATGAAATTGATGTAAAAGTAGAAGAGAGAATATGTGATGTGATTGTTAGTTAAAATTACGTAAGTATGAAAAGTGAATTAAAGTTGATGGTGTGTGCAAGAATGATTGATATTATTTACTTATACTAATAATATTGATGATAGTATGATTGAGTTAAAGTTGAGTGAAAAATGATGAAATTGTTTGGGTTGAATTTGTACAATCTGCTAGGCACACTCCCTTCTTTGAAAAAACGATAGTTACGTCATTTTCTACCCGGAAATCGCTTCATGGTATCTTTCCATTATCTTAGCTTTAATATGATAAACAAAACGCAATGATGAATACATAAATATATTATCAATATGGAAATAATTAGAAACATCTTTTTTTATTTTAATTTTACGAAACGATAAAAAAGTACATAATCACATCTAGACAAGAGCCAGAGTTATTCAAGCAGTCAGTTAGCTGAATCTAGTGAGAGAACAACACAGAATGCAGCCTAGACACCTCACGTTAATAATAATACAACTATCAAAAGGAGAATAAACACGCAAAGCTCCTAAAGGGAGAATCAACACACAAACA